CTTTAATACAATCGACTTCTCCACAGAACTCCTAGACTGAGTAACACCCTGGAATTTTAACCGCCTCAGAAGTGTCGTAGATAAACCTCGCAAACTGTGGTTGCCAAGTACTTGAAGTAGTACCCTTTCAGCACAGCTCACAACAGGACAGAACACTGTTGAAAGTGTTTAGTCATCCTTCACTATGATGTCATCTAATATGATGCCATCTAATGATGGTGATGATGATGATGTATAGACCACCAGTCCAAAACCAATGGTAGGAAGAGATCAAAGGCTCAGCGAAAGCTGTGGCATGGCCTACTAGAGCTACCAGGAGTTTTATGAGAGGTCAACCTGGCCTAAAGATCAGCTGCCTGACCTCAAGACCCACACCCAAGTCTGTTGAATAACATTCAGCTCATTCATTCACACAAGATTTCTTTTTTTCTTTTTTCATTCATTCACACAAGATTTCTTTTTTCTTTTTTCATTCATACAAGATGTATCATTGTCTAACAGCAATCGAGCAATTATTATAATCCGTCTACCAATTGCAGCATGGCCTCAATCACTCAAGTCAATAGAAGGGTAACATCCAACTCGAAAGGCCGGAATAGCCGAATAGATAAAGGTTAATCAAAGTGATGGCAGCAACTAATATCGTTACTGTCCAGGCGAAAGAGGAAGTGCTTTGTAGGGTATAGATCTGATGCAATAGTTTTCTTTTTTAATGGGAAGGAATAGAGAAGCAGTATCTGTGGGAGAATAATAGATATGATCTATTAGAAAACGTAAACAATGTTACTTGAAGTACCCGTAGTTGTAATGGACAAGATTAATTTTCTCTTGGTTCACCTGGGTATTGTGCTGAAATAGGATTGAAATTTTTGTATTGAAAAACAGATCATAAAATAATTATTATGGTCTAGTGTTCCCTTGTAGGCTGGGTCCGATGATGATTCTGTCTCTGGTCCTAACTATTGGTTATTGGTTGCTGTAGCTTGCTCACACCTGTTTCTTCTGCTTCTTCTGGAGGACGGTTCTGAATTCCCCGTTGAAGCATTGTAGGCAGCATCGCATCCTTTTGAGTCGCTTGGCGTCTTTCTTGTTCTTTGGAGTCGGCCGCTCACACGTGAGCACTCCCCTGCGCGGACAGACGACCACTTGCTTGTGCGTGTACTCCTGGGATCTGTTGTCAAAGCACGTGCAAGATTCTCGCGTGCGAACTGGGAACAGAGAATCTGTGCAGTTCCACCAGACCCGGTTGGAGCAGATGCGGCTGCCTCCAACCTTGCACTTGGGCGCGCCAGTTAAAGTCGCCAGTCTCCAATGGGCCAGCCGCAAGGAGCTGGCAACGTCACCTTCGTCGGCCGCTTGGGTGGTCACGATGCTGGAACTGGTAGGGCTGCTTGGTTGGCTAGTGCTGGAAATAGTCACTTCTGTATGATCTGTGACAGCACCCCCGGCACTAGTAGGGCTGCTTGGTTGGCCTGTACTGGAACTAGTCACTTCTGTAACAGCACCCGGCATGGGTGAACCTAAGACTCTAGCTGCCATCACTGACACTAAGGACAGCACAAGGAAAAGGAGAAGCTTAGCCATGGTTGTGAAACGCAACGGTAGAGTACTAAGTGTTATTCTTCAGAGGAGAGTCTATTAAAATACTTTCAGAGTGAACAGTGTGACAAGCTTTAGAAATATTTAGAAATATTCTCATTGACGTCTCTACTGAGCTGTTCTCGGTGGGTTGTGGCAAAGCAATGCAGGGTGTCGCTGCTTTTATAGTGTGATATCCACGGCCACTGTACCTTCTTTGCATGCAAGTGTGGCCAGCTGGTTTGCATATTACGTGCAGGGAATTTCCTGACTCTATGACTGTGTAGCAGTACTGCATCAGACTGGTAGCATGAATATGCATACACCACATCCTGCTGTTGTGCCCTTTGCTACGCCGTGTATACCACAAGACTCACACTGTCACACAGGCAATATTGTACATGCCGGCACTAATGCCAGTAATGGGAATAGCCCTCCCTCTTGGTTGTGAAGCATGCAACTTACTTTCATGTTGTGATATGACTCATCCTCCCCCTATGCGGGCGCCGGCTCCTGTAAATCTCAAGTACCTTGAAGAATGATGACATAATGGCTGGATTAGCCACCAATTAACCTCAGTGGTAGGGGTTTCCCCTGGGCTCCCCAAGCTAGCATCACAAGACTACGCAGTGATCACAGAAGATCATTGATTCCACTGCATGAAGTGTGTTTGGACTCAGCCATTCTATTTCTAGTGAACAGGCCCATGCATTAATGATTTAGGCCAGGCATGGCGGCCATGTTGTGCTCTCCAACTTCAAGTGAATAATTAGTGCCATTGACTGTGCCCACTATTCAGGACTGTAGTTGTGAAGGCCAATGAATGCAAAGTTACTTTTCGGCTTGCTTGTAGACTGTCTACATGAAGCTAGCTGATTGCCCTGGGTTAAGTGGGTCACTTGGTATAGCTAAAACGTTTGGTGTTGTGTTGCAGTGTGTACGTGTATGATGGTGGTGTTGTGCAAAATGTGGCTGTACACTGCGCTTACAAATTTATTTAGGTGACCATCATGATCATGCCCCCTTTGAAACAAGACACTGAACATCACACCTGCAGCAGCCCATCCCAGCAGGATTAAATGATATCCAAACAAAACAAAAAGAAATTAAAAATACTAACTATAGCTTTGGTCCAGTTCCTTCTGCACACTAGCCGCCAAGGCTTACTTGCTCGGGTTTGCTACTTGAGCTTCGTCTGGCCGTGCTAAGTCTAGAATGAGACCAGGCCGGGTTATTCTGGGGCAGTTACCGTGGAAATTCTGTTTGACTACCATTCACCCTGTTCCTGTGCTCACCACTGTGTGCATAATGTCGCCAAGTAGTTGCTTCCCGTTTGTGTGGGCTGGCCGTGGTTGTCAAAAGTGTGGGCGAGAAAATGAGGGCACTCGAAAACGTTTTAAAGTGCACTGTATACTGGTATGTGTGCACGAGTATACATATTACATGCAACTGTGAGTGTGAGTGAATGCTGATAGTATCTCTGCTCTCCGCACATGAAACAGACACTGCAAGTCCCAATGCCTGCTGTTGTGTGTCTGCCTGTAAGTGTGAAGCACACTTCAGCAATTATGTGTGTGGGCTCTTAGTCCCACAACGTAGTTTGGCCGTTTGGTAAGAGCTTAAGACTCATACTTCTCAAATACTTCTTAGAAGTAAGTATGTACATGTACATGTATAGTGTAGCAAAGTGTGTACGTGAATTAGTACCCTGTACTGTAGTGTATATCCTGTAGTCTAGTGTAGTTTGTGTATACCATGTAGTCAAGTGTATGATGTAACATGTAAGTGGTGTGCACAGTGAGGTCACAGGGCAATTCACTGTGCTTCCATTGTGTCTGCTAATGAGCATAGAGCACTGCAAGATCTTCCCACGAAATGACTTGATTAGATATGAAAAATGTCACGTGTGCATTGAACTAGTGCAGCGATAGGGAAGGTCTTCCCTTGAACGTGTTCATGAAAAATGTCATGCGTGGATTGAACTACAACTAGTGCAAAGCATAGATGATGGGATCTCCCCTTGAACTTGGACATGAACAACTTCGTGTCATGTGTGAATTGACCTACTTCAAAATGGTGCGAATGATGGAGGGGGGGGGGGGGGGGGGAGGAGGAGGAGAAGGCCACCAGTATCCAAAAGGCTTTCAGTGCAGGATTATAATGCTTACATTTAGGTATTGTGCTGTTTGATTTAACCAATGCACTAACCTCCACAGTTCCACTGCGGCTAATCGGTCACACATACATGTACAGTACATGTATGTGTGACCGATTAGTCACCCTCAGCTCAACTTTACACCTTCCCTTTGCCGTCGGAAACACACAGGTTGAGGAAATATGATAGAATGATTACCAATAATTACCATAACTTTTAAATCTCGTTTACCTTGACCCCTCATAGATCACCCTAGCTGTCCTTCTGTTCCGGGCAGCTTGCAAATCTGCTCAGATGTACACGTGTACTGTTTGAGTGATGGCAGTGGTATGGTAGGCGTGCTGTGGTGCCACAGCAGGGGAGACCTGGGCCATTTGGTGGTATCCTTTTGGCCTACTCTCACTCACTAACTCACTCACTCCCTGTTGTGGAGTATGCATGCATAGTAATGTAGTTGTGCCAGCTGCCGTTTGGAGCAGGACTTCCTTCCTGTACTACAGTATAGGCCACGCATGACATTAGGACACCTGTCTTGAGCCAGCGACTATGACTGTGCGATTAACACGCAGGGCATGACTGTGGCAGCTGGTACCTGCTGCCTGGAAAACATTGAAAGTAAACAGTATACGGAAGCACAACACAACCAAAGCGCACGGGGTACTTATGGGTTGTAATGTTGTTGCATTGTTGAGGGTTCCTTCCCGTGTCAATAATGACGCACTAGTCAGTCTACTTTGGAGCACTGGTCAACGTTAACATGCTCCTTCCATGATCTGACTCTTGCCCAGCAGAAGAGCTCTGGCGCCGATATTAGTGTCACGTAATTCGTGGGACATATTCTGCAGCTGCAGGTGGATGTGGTGATCAACAGTGTGTGGAGAGGAGAGAAGAGCTGTTGATGCCATGCTAGTTCCTTCCTATGCAGTATGACCTGAGCACCTGGCATTACCTGATTAGGTAGCAGTCTAGAACACTGTTGAAAACAGTTAGTGCTGAATGTACTGCAGTCGATCTTGTGAATAATGACCCCCCTTTTGCATGGCATGAGGAAAACACTGTTATTAACGAGGTATCAGTACTCGTGTGGTTACAGGTACCAGTCCGGCAAGTGGTTACTATCATCAATACTATGTCTGAATAAGTGTTGTTACTCCCGAGTTGTCATGCCCAAGTTCGCTATTCTCGAGCCTGACTGTATTGCTATTACTGAATGATTGATCATGTGTTTGTTTCTCATTCCTGTGTCGTGTCATGGACTTGTTTCTAGTGCTGAGCTGTGGATGCAGTCAGTCCTCATCACGTTCAGCTGGACCAGCTATACAGCCATACTCCTCGCAGGGTCATCCTCACCAGGGACAGCTACCTGGCGGAGATGATGTTGATGAAGACGAAGAATGCGATGATGATGATGACGGTGGTGACAGCTATGAAGAGCCAGCTGGTGTGGAGCAAGTAGCCACCGAAGCAGTGACTCATGCTACACCGGGTATGACATCATCATCAACGCATCCACCATCTGTGCCGCCAACCACTCAGCCGCCGGTTTCCGAGGAGACGACAACGTCGGCTGCAACCGACTCACCCACATCACCCACTGCATTGCCGTCGGCGACAATACGAACCGAAGCAGAGACTGAGGTAGGTGCTTTGCTAGGGTTTGCAATACATGTGATCAGGAGTACAGTATTGTCGGGTGCCGAAGAACTGGGGGTCAGCCTCCTAGCCTAGACCAGTCTAATTTTCATGTACTGTACTGTACTACAATCTACGCACAGTTGAGTCACCATGTATACATTGGTATGCTGTGCTTGGTGAAATCCTAGCCTGGTCGTTCTTCGGCAACCGACAGTACTGTATCGTACAGGGCATTTTGTTCCAGGGTGAGCCGTAGCCAATCTATCTTGGTGTACACTATGGCATGCATCCGTGCTGGTTGGCAAGTGTATGACAATAGCAGTCCAGCGTATGCAGTCTGCGGTGGTGACGGTTTTCGGAGACCCTCTATGCATTCCCATTATGTTCGTTCGAACTGTTGTGTGCTATCCAATAGTCCAGTGGGCAGACACCTCTGTGTCACTTACCTCTCAATATCTGGAGTTCGCAAAGCTCAGGAGTACTGCGTGCACCCATAGCTGGGCTAGCTTTGCTGCAGGCTGTGATCGTGCAGCTCACGCATGGAGAATATGTCTGTAGGATCAGTGGTGTTGAACATGATATTATCACTGCAGGCCATGCTACTTAGACCAATGCTAGAGTAGGCAGTAGCTCACATGCCGGCAGCTAAGGTCCATCATGTGCATACCGATGAAAGCTGGTCTTAGCGACCACTCATGGGACCGGCCTGTTGCCGTCTTTCAGCACAATGTCATGTGGTCTCTCGTGTTGTTCGCCATCGCAACAGCGCTATGGATGAAGGCACACGCACACACACACCACGCACGCACACTACTACTGTACTACTACTGTAGCTTGGTTGCCAACAAGGGTCACACCACTCCGAAAGGAGCCAGAGTCATTGTCAGGAGCAGAAACGGAGCACACACACACACGCACACGCGCGCACACGCACATATGCACGCACACACACACACACACACACACACACACACACACACACACACACACACACACACGCACACACACACACACGCACACGCACACACACACATAATTAGGCACACACACGTACACACACACACATAATTATGCACACACACACACACACGTACACACGCACGCACACACATACACACACACACACACCACACACACACACACACACACACACACACACACACACACACACACATCTCTTGTCAATTCTACACAACCACCATTGCACTAAAGTTACAACGGGTGCATGAAAGGTACACGCAACATCTGAAACCAGGCTGACCAATGCACCTTCCACTCTATGGTGCCAAAGAATAGTGGTATTGTGGGGGGGGGGGGGGGGCAGGGGATGTATATAGAGAGAGCTACAAGGAGGAAAACTTCCTTCTGCCAGCAGAGAGGGCTCGACACAATAATGTGGAGCACTATTACACACAAAAGGCACAATGGAGGTTTACAGAGTTGTCGCAACTCGGAGTTTCTTGCTGATCAGTGCTTTCCGGTATCTTGCTGGCGTTGGTAATGGTATGTTCCTCGCTGAATAGTTCATGTCCAGAGAGCTATGTATTATAGCAGAGTCCATCCAGTGAGATACACACACATACATGTACATGTACATATACATGCACATTACATTCTATACTAGCTCCGGCCTGTTCACTTGAAGCATGCGTCGTCTTTTAGGTTGAGTACTTGTCACATGGGTGAGTCCAACGGCCAAGCTGCCTGGCTGCCATGCATGTGCAGCCCCTCGGAGGGTCTCTCCAAGGAGGCCTACAAAGAGGGAGAGGTGTCTCGTGCTGTGTTCGTTTTGTCAACTTAGTAGAGTAGAGTAGCACAGATTTCGGAATAATAGAAGGCGGTAGAGTGGGAGTGCATGAATGCATTTCTGCTCATTTCGGTAGATCATCGATGCAAAGTCGGTATGTCACCCATCTTAGCAATATTTACAATGCGCTGTACGACATTTTTTAAAGAGCTCCAACTGCCATGGTTCTACAGAAATCCTGTACCTCTACCAATTACTTCTACTAGTACTACACTGTACTTGCCTCAAACCTGCTACATGTACTGTGGTAGAGCTGGTAGAGGAAGTAGAATCTACAGTTTGGGGTAGCAACTAACTTGAAGAAGTGCAATGACTATGTACCACTGCCGAAACCTGTGGCTGTAGGTCGAAAATGAATGTCCCCTTGATCGTGTAGATGAGTGTGAGTAGGCTTTTGTCAAAGTCCATGCTTTACCCACCGTAGTGTGTCCTTACACCGTAGCCGTGCTACAGATCTACAATATCCACCATAATGGGTCCATACACCGTAGCCGTGCATGCTACAGAACTACTGTACTGTAGTGTAGAACTAGAAGCGAGTTTCACGTCATGCACATGCCTGCCTGCCGCGCGGGCGCGGGGCACCGGGCATGCATCAAGTCTAGCTCTGAGTCTCTGACACACACTTTTTTCGTCTTGATTTTCGTTGTTTGTTGATTTGATGAAGACAGTATAATGTCGGGCTTGGTTCAGTACGTCGTTGTTCGAGGAGACTTGCTCCGCTCTCTCTCATGGCCTGTGGGAGCGGTCATTGCTCAGGGATGCCACGCATCCTCAGCAGTTCTCCATCGCTTCGGGTCGGACCAAAACGTACACTCGTATTTCGAACATTTGGAAAGCATGCACAAAGTCGTGTTGGAAATTCAGGATGAGGCTTCGTTGCGGACTTTGGCCGAACGCCTAACAGAAGGAGCTGTTGATCATCATCTCTGGATTGAGCAACCAGAGGGAACTCCAACTGCGCTAGCATGCAAGCCCTATCCGAAACCAGACGTTCAGAAGTACTTCAAAGGACTGAAACTTTTCAAGTGACGAGGAGCTGATGATAATCGTTCAGTGTAACGCCAGAGCAGCTCTGAGCTGTAGCGATAAGAAAACAAGTTCTGCACGCGTTTCTCCCCAATGTGAGGAGAGTATGAGAGATGGAGGAGATCTACCGTTACGTTGATAATCGTTGTCGGTTTTGAAACGTGTTGGTGCACTTCTTGAGCTACTGGTCTTCGTGTGAATTTCGAGATTTTGGAGATGAGAGCCATTTCTCAGGCGATACATTACCTCGGATTTGAGGTTCTCTCAACGGATATTCAGGCGTGAAGCAGGGGATTGTTCCAATGGCATAATGAATATGATCCAGAGGGCGAGTTTGTGCATATTCCTGCCGTATCTGCATACACACAGGACGTGGATGGAGGTCTTCTCTCTGGATCAAACAACTCCTGGTGTACTGCTACTGTCATGTAGCTCTGACTCTAGTCCAGCACTAGTACATGACTGTACTAGGAGTGCATGTAGCCAACACAGAGTGCATGACCGGACTAGTGCCCTGACGTGCCTGTTGAGTCCTTCCCTCATGTCGGCGTGGCCTCACTCAGTTAGCATGAGTTATGCATGCTGCCATTGCTTCCATCAAGTAAGTGCTTGATCTTGACAGTCAAGCACTTGTAGAGTTGTGTACAATCATGTAACTACTTGCTGACATGACAGAGAATGGGGTACAGCTACATTACAATGTGCAGCAGTACTCGGGAACACTATTCTCATGCTCATACTAGTCATAGCATTGGGCTACATCTCACATTTTTTTCTGTTTCTTTTCTGATTTCGGTCCTTTGTGAACCTCCCTGCTGGCAGGGGCGGTAATCATGTGATTTGTTTGTTTTTACAAGAAATGGAGAATGATACTGGTCTTAAACTTTCTTTCGAGCACATATTTCTGTCTCGCGTTCTTGAGTTACCCATTTGGTGGGCTCCCTCTCTTGTCCGCATCCTTGGAATATTATTCCAGGCTTGTAGCTTGGTTGGAGGCTTTGTCAGAGGCTTGTTGGGGCTAAGCCGACCACGTTAAATACATGTAGTGCATGATATACATGTATGTTGCATGACTAGACCCTGCAGCAGACTGCTTGCACAGCAAAGCGCGGAACATCATGTGAGGAGTTCAACTTTAGTTTATTGCGTGTTACGTCAATATTCAATGCCCTGTATTCTCTAGTATTGTTGAAACTAGTGGATATCAACCGGGGTAAGGGGGGGGGGGGGGTTGAAGCCTGGACTTGTTACGCTGTTGGCTGCTGTTGCTGTTGCTGCACACAGCTCTGTTCGTCAATGGCCCCATTCGCGAGTACATTTCACTTGACAGCGCATGTAGTCAGTCCATCGCTGGGCAGCATATCTATTGTCATGGATTTCATTCATGCTGCGGATCATCGATGCAACTTTTTAGAGGGGTTCAATAGATGAGCACACAAGAACATGATTCTCCATGTGTGAGTACATCTAGAGAGAACGTGTCTTTTGCCATGCCGTTGGTAGAGCCATTCCCAGCGAAGCGGTTCTTTTTGCTTGTTTGCTGTCGCTCCTACTTGTCCAGATTCCCAAGACGAGAAGCGAAGTGGAGGAAGAAAAGCCCAACAATGTGGAGGTCATCTACCGGCCAGATAAGCTGCATGAAGATGAAGAGGAGCCGGAGAGAAAGTAAGGCCAGCTGGCGTAATGGCCGTAAGAGTAGATCATGATTGTTATGCGTGACACACACAGTGCATGAGTTATGATGACTAAATCTGGGACTATAACAAGTTACAACTGTTGGCATGTGTTAATTTCCCTTGTCTCATGCCAGTCTACACGCCATCCTTAGTCAGGGCATGGGTCTAGGAACACCACTTCCCGAGCATGGTCACAAGATCATGACTATTGGGAGGCGTGTGTACATACTCAGGGTAACAGTCTGGTTTAGAAATTTGCAAGAGTTAGCAGCGGGGGGGGGGGGGAGAGAGAGAGAGAGAGAGAGAGAGAGAGAGAGAGAGAGAGAGAGAGAGAGAGAGAGAGAGAGAGAGAGAGAGAGAGAAAGAGAGAGAGAGAGAGGTCAATGCTGAAAAGAAAGAGTACAAGTTATCAGCAGTTTATTCAGGGATGCAAACTGTGCTAGTTTGAGTGCCGCTCCGCATATTCTATCAAAGCCAAATGACCTGGAATCCAGGATTGTAGTACAAAACGTACTAGTGCATGTACATCGACTAAACAGTACAGAATATTGTGACACTTAGATGATTGCTATGGCTGACATTCCACTGTACATCTCCTTGAGAGCCCTTTATAACAATGTGCTGTTTCAGATTCGCCAATCTGTGATCTGCTTCTCGCTGATGTTGTGCACATTCTGCAGTTTTCAAATTTGCTACACCTGGTGGGGGTGGTTTGCGAACTTCTTTTTGTTAATACTGGTGGAAGTCTATGTTGGCTTTAAATGGTGCGATCGATGTATTGTACCAATGTTTGCAGGCCATATGATGAACAGCAGAAGCACCAGCAGCAGCAGCAGCACTCGGGTCTACCTAGTAACATCATTGTAAGTCGTGCTACGAAGCCTGACTGTACCTGGTGACGTCAGATCGGGTCATTGCTGCGAAACTTCATACAACCACATGCAGTGAAACCTGGCTCGGGTGACTGCTCAGGGGACCTTTCAAATGCAGTCCCTGCGCACAAGCGGTCTTCTCATCCAGGGCCATTTGACTGGAAATAAGATCACTTGGTCCGAGCTGGAGTGTTCCTCTGAGGTAGGCGGCCGCCTTATCCGAGTGGTCAGCGCCTTGCAGGTTTTACTGTATTGCACGCGGCTACTCAACTTCAGTGCTGTGGCTCAGTACCTGAGGCTGATTCCACACATTGCACAGCCACTGGTGTACATATGCCGCCGTCTGCTAGCACTACTAGGTGCTATGTTGGCATTGTCCTGGAGCTTGAGGTCAAATTATGGTTTGAGTATCGTGTACATGATGAACTTGCCTCCCCCATGTACACGCACATGCACTTCAAAAGAAGTATTGCTATGGTCTGCTGCGTGGTGATGGTAGGGCCTGCAGCTTTGGTCCAGAATAGTTTGTTTAATGCTGTGATACTGATAGGCACTGACACACATACAGTGTGATTTCCACTTCCACTTTTTTTCAGCTGACGGCATTTAGATTTACCCAAGGAGAGATGTGTAGGTAGCCGGGCAGGTGTGTGTGTGGGGGGGGGGGGGGGGGGAGTATGCTTCACTGGTACTGACTCTCAATTTCTCCCACTCTGTACATTGACTGTTGACTGATGGGTTTGCAGCTGCTGGAAAAGCTGGATGAATTGAAGCACTACAGCCAAGTTGGCACGACGGTGCTGGTGGACGAGACGCAGGAGGTGCTGATTCGCTTCAGGACCGACTGGAAGGTCGTTCCGGTGAGTCAACGTTACGTGCCCGCATGCTCCAATACCACGGTATCGTAGTTATGCCTTTGCGGGCTTCACTATTTCCTCGCATATGGTGGTACACGTGGGTGAGTTTATAGAAAAGAAAAAAGGACCAAGGAACTACACGTTACGCTATAATGTCCACTAACACCACCAGTTACTAAACAATCAGCTCATGTGATAACACTGCACGACACTGACCGACGGTGCTGACGTTTTTCAACTAACTGGCTATCAGCTCTAGCATGTCTTGGATGCGCACTCCAACAGCCTTCCAACTTGGAAGGTTCTAAGTTATATGATAACATAGGAGGTGGTGTTAGTGGGCATTATCATAGCGTAACTTGGAGTTCCTTGGTCCTTTTTTCTTTTCTATAAATTTATCCTTGGCTCTCCATCCGAGTCCATACGTGTGTGAGTGTTGGCTATTTGGGGGGGGGGGGGGCTATTTTGGTATTGTCCTTGAGCCTGAGGTCAATTATGGTTGAGTGTCCTGCACATGATGGTCAGGTTTTCAATTTAATGACAGGGAACTTGGAAATCCTTTTGTTGCTTGATGCATGGGGTGGTACGAACCAGTACTGCTTGTAAAATAGCTCATTTGTTTCTCGGTTCAATATTTTGTTCTGTAGATCTGGTGTTATCAGATGGTTGGCAGGAATGGGGAGGTGGATGTAAATTTTGTATTGTTTCCTATGCTGGATTTTCTTATCAATGAAATGAACAGCTGGTCATACGCTATGGCCTTGGTGCTTCTGAGTCTGACACACCGCCACACCATTCAGCTCAAGACCATACTAATCCTGAGCAAGCAGCCAGGCCGGGGTCGATACGCAACCGGCATCCAGCGGATGGCATCGGCCATGAGCATTCTGACAGGATCAAAGCCACTGCCCATACCAGTCGACCTAACAATGTACAACCGTTATCCACCATGCCTCGAGACAACGTAAAGAGGGTCCCCAGCACGGACTCCACGGTTCTGAGCACGTCCTCGGAAACGGCATCGCCATCCACACTCCCAAGATCTGCACACCGTGCTCAAACACCATCAGCAGCAGAGTCCATCACGTCAGTGGATGGCGGGCCTGATGGTACTAAGCCACCACCTGGTGAATGGGATCACAGAGCCACAACACTACCACCACCACTGCCGTCACAAACAGCTAGCCGTGTATCTGAAGATCAAGCTGATGTAAGAACAGAGGGGCATGTTGATGACTCTCCTGCCACGCCTGACCCATTGGTGCTGGCAGTAGCATCAGAACGAGAACTCAACGCAACGCCTGAACCTCCACCAGATGGCCAGAAACACATCCCCAAGACACAGTCGAATATCAACCTGGGGGAAGTCCTTTCAACCGAGACGCAAATAGCAGGAACGACCCTGGACATGGGAAGCGAGGATCCATACGTCACCGTGGAGCTGACCGAACCACCTCCTGAAGACACCCTATCAGTCTCTGTTTCTGAGGATCTGGTGCAACTCACCCCTGATACTTCAATACACAAACCATACGCAGCATTAAATGAAGACAGAGAGCCTGTAGCAACACAAGAGTGGGTGTTAGAAACTGACCAAGCTGAGGCTACAGATCTCGCTGTGGACAAGTTACAAGATCCAACTCCAGTGCCATCATTCTCCAGTATGTTTGAAGAGGACATTGTACCAACCATGCAAGTACGTGGAGACATACCCTCTCTGCCTAGTCCAAGCAATACAAAGACACATGAACCCTGGAACAACAACGATAAAGCTACACCAGTGGAAATCATTGCTGTCTCTCCAGAACCCCCAAGTCCTGACACTGCCAATGCTACTGCTGCCACCAGCAGTATTGGTGAGCAGCAAGCGCATCCACGGTATCCCGTCTGTGGAAATGGCGTAGTGGAAGTCGGCGAGGAGTGCGATGATGGCAATGCACTTGACTGGGACAGCTGTGTGTGTAAGTAACCACTAGTTCTATGTAGAATGACTATGAACCGTGATTACTGCCCGGTTTGATCTTAATCGGCACCCCTGCGTTTTTTTAGACATTGTGTTGGCATTCACCATGAATCTTGGAAGAATATATATGTGTAATATTGAAGTGATCCTTGAGGGTGGTCGCGTTCCTGGGGATCAGTGCGAGGAACTCAGTCTGGCTGAGTCTCACACGAGCTGTGAAATTTATTGCAAATTGCCACCTGCATGCTGGATTCCTGGTAGCAAATCAATTCCGATTTAGTTTGAAGGCAATACCCGTGAAACAATCATCGTGCATTGCGGTTCAGCCCAGTGTAGCACAGAAGCTTGGCACACTGATAAAATTGGTACAGGCCCAGACCTGATTCTACCTAACCTCCAGGGCCAATGCTGTCTATTTAAAACAGACCTCGTGTATTTCCTTGGCACGATGCATGCAACCACACTGGTAGGGAAAGAGGCCGCGGTTGCTGCTTATGATCCATTGTGATGGTATACAGGACTGTGTTACTGTATTTGGACGTGAAGTATGTATACATATATGTACAGTCCTGGCAAATGAAATCCGACCCCTGAGTGGTGCACTCACATCGCAAAGACCCAAGACGGGATGGTAAAACTACGAAACAGAGACCGCTAGGATGCGGACGCACCGCTAAGGGGTCGGATTTCAGTTGCCAGCACTGTAGCTCTGCTTCCTATGCCCCGATCTCTCATCTCCCAGCTGGGCGTGCTGTGTACTAGGAGGTACTGCTGTTGCTTCTTCCCTCTGACCCGGTTTGCCTCTCTTTCTTTTTCTTTTTCTCTTTCTCTCTCTCTCTCTCATGCCATGTGTGTAGATTGTAAGCATGCTCGTTGTGGGGATGGTTATGTGATGCGTGGAGCTGAGTCGTGTGATGGCGATGCCACGGTTGACATGAGATGTAGTGACTTTCCCGGATCTCGGTGAGTTCTTCTAAAAGCGGCACAGAACCAATGGTGCTCAGCACTGCACAGCGCTGTCACGCGGCTGCTCAAGGTGTTGCCTGTTTTTAAACCAATGTTATCTGAACTTCTATTGTTCCTGCTTCCATATTCAATCAAGAGCCTTTATGAGTTCAACGGTTGTGTTATCAATATTTAGAATTCAGTCACTCTGAGTAACATCATAGCCTTGGCCCTCTGTTTTGCCGGTGTACCAAGTGCACTACTGCCGGGTGACGAAGAACTGGGAGAGGGTGGGGTCAGCCTCGTAAACTATAGCCTAGGCTGTTCTTGCCGCGGTGCACTGTGCTTGGTGAAATTCTACCCCGTACGTCCTTTGGCACCCGGCAGTACTGTAAACTACCCCCCCCCCCCCCCCACCACCACCACCCCGTGGCATTGAAGGGTTTCACTCTTTCATTGTTTTTTTGTTGTTCTTTTGTCCTGTGCAGACCTGGCAAGATTTCGTGCAGTTCCCAATGCCGTCTTCTTGTCTCTGACTGCTTCAGTTCTGCCTCAAAACTGGTATGACTTGCGGACTACACTCTCATTTCTTTTTTCACACCTGGTTCATTCGACACTCCAGGAGCGTCTGTGTGAATTGCCACTCTATACCTTGCTGTACTATTTGGTTCCAATCCCCAGAACAAAACAGTGTTTCCCACATGCAATATCGTGGCATGGTTTGTGAATTCGCAGAGAGAATTAATCTTTGATCATCACAGTAGGTGCAAGGTGGAGGGATGGCAGTCCGTTGACTCGGAGAGTGGGGTCTTGATCAACCCACCCTGTGTATGAAATCACCACGGTTTGATGGGTACAGTCAACTTCTCTTGTAACGATTGCGGATATAACGACAATTCGCGAATAACGACAGAATGTCGATGCCCAAAGCAAAGTCCCATCTAACTGTAATACATATAATGAGACTTCGGGTATAGGGGCACTTCGCGAATAAGGACACTTTTCTGATGCCCCGCCGAGTGTCGTTATACGCAAAGCTGACTGCATGCATGTATTTGTACGTGTGTTCTGCATGGCTGGCAGGTACGTATAGCACCGTTGCAGCGCCCACGCAATGGCTACCTCGGCGGCCCTCACTCCGCTGATCGCCTGTGTCGGCACGAGGCTAAGAGACACGGCACACATGGCCTTTACCGAGCATTCCTCAACTCCATGAGCCGCTTGCTAGCGCATGCAGTGCCGGAGTTTTCGTTGGATCGGCCAGTAGTTAACATGAAAGTAAGTGATGCTTTTTACATGTAACGTTTGCCACGTGCAGCAAGAGTATACTTTGAAGTCAAAGCAATTGTGTAATACACGACCAAGTAACAAGGCCACACTGGAATGACTGGATCTCTCTCAGGAACTTACAAGCAGTTACAGAAGAATGATTGCACGAAGTGATCCAGAAGACTAGGTAGAAAAGAGCTCATACTAAACCGGACGTAAGACTTGGACTGAAGGCAAGACTGAACTGACAACAAGACTGAACTGAAGACAGACTGACTGAGAAATCGAAAGACGGATGTATATAAGAGCAAGAAGTCCAGTTACAGCTCTAGATAACGAACTATGAATGGCCGCTAAGGATTATGGCAGTTACGCAACATGGTCGCATTGTCTGGAAAGAAGAATACAGATACTAGAGAGGTTCCGGGGTACGATTTTCCGTGCCAAAATCCGTATGGGCGCTACGGATTTTTTCCAGGCGTGCTCCATACGATTTTTCGGCACGAGAATCCGTGTGGACTGGCTTTCATACGAACCATGCTTCGTATGGAGATTTTGCGTCATCGGGTGCAGAAAGATTTTTCGCGTACAAATTTGGTACGAGAAACATCGATTTTTCGCGGGAAGTTTTGATTTCGGTACAAATTTTCAAAATAAAAAGGCATAGCGCGGGAATGTGACGTGTTTGCGATCGTAGCCTAGGCAATGACGGCAAACACATAAGTTCCGTACCCCGGAACTTTTCACTGCTCGAAAACGACGTATAAAAAATCCGTAGAGCCTCCACGGACTTTGGCACGAAAAATCGTACTCCGGAACCTCCCTACTATCTAACGCAGCAGGAGTGGTAAAAGGTACCATTGTGAAAATCATATTGGTTTGTGTTGGGGGAAGTCTCTCTTCTTCACGTTGCTTTGCTAGCGAATCCCTTATTCTGTTTCCCGAGGGAGTCACTAAAACGACTTGTGTATCATATATTTTTCTATGTATATGACTGTACACCAGGGTGAGATGTTACTACGTTCATGGAGAACTCTTCTACAAGACACTGGAATACAATGGACGGCAGATGTTCTGTCGTTCAGTGGCCAGCGCCTGCCCTATCCAAGGTAGGTGTGTATTGCCGGCAATGCATCTCCAATGCTTTCAGTTTCAGGGCAGTATGCAAGCTATCGTTTTAAATTTGTCCAAAAACAAGTGTAGTGCTTGTTCTTCTCAGACAGCCTTCTATCTTCCGTTACCTGTGTGTTGTCAGACTCTGTGCTGGCCCCTTTGTGCGGTCGTTGTGCCCCTCCTTCTGTGACATGTGTGTGTGTTGGCAAGGATGAATAGCCTGAACCTAACTCCTAAGCGAGGGTACACATTGCTTGATCTTGCTTGTGCATTGTTAGATTACAGACACCTAACCACAAGTTGCACCAGCTCACGAAACATGGGGACAGAGATTCACTTTACTTGTTACGTTGGTATCAACACCAAAGAATCTGTGAAGACTGTATTCTGCTGACTGACGCTACACTGTAATGTCCATATACACATGTAACGACAGCGCGACAAACTCATATCAAACCGTGCATAACACGCTCGTGATAACACTTGAATAACACTGAACTAGACTAAGAAAGATGGATCCTAATATCCCTGCAAGATTGGGACGTTGTCCCGCTCTCAGAAGCCAGCGCTAGCCTAAGTCTACAATAGAGTAAGAGGTGAGAGCTGTCATGCATGCAGCGGAACAGCCAGTGAATAGAGAGTCCTGAGGGCTAAACCAACCATGAACAATACATAAAACCAGACACCATACATTATGAAACAAAGCTGGCTCCACAAGCTCAATGGTCTGTGAACTTTCAATTCCACATGCATCATGCAAAATAGCGTTTCATTTCTAGGTTCTGGTGCCACAATATATGCCTGCTTTGATGTGCGACTCGTTCGTACAACTTTTTTCTAAGTGATGTGCTCCGCGTTATGCAACCCATGACTTCTTTCTTTTGTGTGTGCTCTTTTCTTGTTGTCACTCAGGTTTGCATGGCTTGGGTTTAGCATGGGTGCTAGTCACAGCTACACCAGCCAATTCAGCAACCTGCGAGCGGTTGCGTCTGCTGCCACGGACAGCACGTGTAAGAACTGGAAGTCGATCAGCTCGCATCAATTTGCCTCGGCCGTACTGCTGACTGCATCGACATCGGATGCCGGAAATCTGGCAAGGCGACGCTGTCACGAGCGCCATCTTCTCCTCTGCTACTCTGTACCCAGTGTGTAGTCAGACTGAAACAAGGCCAGAGGGTCTTTGGACTCAAGTCACGGTCCAGACTTACACCATGCCAAGGAAGATGACCTTATAGACCAGCTGTTACCAATCCTGCCTGTTACAGAAGCTGCTTCCCTGTTTCTACAAATTAATGGTTCTCGCCAAGCACTGGAATCCTACCATTTGTGCACGGCACCTTGGATTAGTGAATTACACCTCGGGTTTACAAATGCAGTTACCGCAACCTGTTCATTGTGTTTCCCTGGCATCCCATCTGTTGCTGGAATCCATGAGTGAAGATGCAATAATGCCGGTGACAGAATGATGGTACTATACATGGTCACAACGTCTCGCCGTGACTCCGGACATCGCAAGGCACATGCCATGGTGTGATCAATTCATTGCTTGAAGCTATTGGACGTGGGATAAGTTAGTTCCTTGCCTCCAAGAAGATCAGACGGTCGAGAAAAATGCACCACAGAACATTGTATTGTACATACTGCTTGTTTTTTCTTGATGAGGATTGAGTCTACACACGATATGCCGAGTTGTTGAACTCTGAGTTATTCCGTGTGTGATGATATGTGTTGCCCGAAAAATTCAATACTAAGCTATACTACGTGCAACTATCATATCAAATGAATTGGCTATGGCTGAATTATTACCAAAGAGAATCCAACAAAATATTCTGCTGGAAATGTTTGCGAGCCCCCCGGGCTTTGCAACAATTTATCATTGCGATGGCTTGATAATCGATGACCGATACGCGATGTTGTTGGTCACTTTAGTTATATATTTTTATGCATTTCCTTACATCTGATTAAATTGGCCGAGATCTGTAACTATGAACTGAGTGTGTGTATGCTTGGCATGGGAGATTCCGAGTCGCTGGCGACTTTTGGTACACTGTGCTGCAGACCTCACAAGTTGCATGTCACTGACTAGAGTAGTACCAAGAGTATGAACTAAGCTCTCTGGGAGCTTATTTCACACTCTTGGTAGTATCGGTGTTGAGCGGATTACAACCTCCCCTCCGAAGTGCTGGGGGGGGGGGGGGGGGGGGGAGGGGAGAGCCTGGGACGGTTTGGACTTTGGAATGTATTTCACATGTACCCATGGCTGGTATGCGGTATGCAGTGATTCGATAACATCATTGTGATCATAAAGTTTGTGACTTGAAACTAACTACAGTACATACTGTGTTAGACTTTAGTTTATACAGGAGCCCGTAACCTCGCCGACCGGGTAGTGACGTCCTGGTTTCAAAAGTACATGAATATCCGTTTGACCAAGAGTACATCATAACTGTCATGAAACCCATTTTTCCTTGTACTCTTGCTTTGACTTATCACGGAGCTGATTGTTTTCATGGCAATCCCTTCGCCTTCGGGCTTCATGGCCCTGCCCCTGGTTTGTATCAACTAATCAAGTAAGCTAGCTAGCAAGGCGAGACTTACCAAGTAAAGAGTGGATGATCTTGCTTGCATAGCATGCAGCAGCATCTATAGCATGCGCCGTGAGTTGGATCATCCACTGTTTCTGCTCGTGCACGTGACCGACCGGCACGTGCACGAAACGTGTGTGCATTTTCGAATGTTCGAAAATCATGTTCTCTGTTTTTACTTTATCGATTCATTTCAGTATCTTTGTTGAACCAGCGTTTACCCCAGGGTTGCGTACTCTTGCTATTCCTTTTGAGTGTAGTTCCATCTGAAATAAGGCTGCTGGCAGGAAGGAAAGCAAAGTTGTTATCATGCACAACCCACTACCATCTCCGTCCCGTGCTATGTACGGGTTCGCTCTGTATATTCTATCTGCGGTCGTATTCGGTGAGATATCCGCTGGAAAGTGGCTGCTGTATTTTTCCTGGTGAAAAGATCTGGTTCGAAACTCTGCTTGTCTGTTGTCCTTGGAATATGGCTAGGGGTGTATCTGGTGTGGGCCTATGTTCCAAGTGATTGGCTGAGAAGCGTTGGGATAGTGTATTTTCCTCAGAAGTAAGTCAAATTGTTGTCTCGGGATAAACGTTTTCTTAGATTTTGAGTGATATTAATAAGTGATTTACATTCAACGCCACCTTCCTAGTGAATATGTAATCATGCTGGGTGTAAATCAGAGTAGCTCAAACCTCTTCGGAGGTGCAAACCTTTGCAGAAGAAGTAGTGGTCTAAATTGTTTCTCTTCTCTTCCATAATACTCTCTGGCATTGCTACAGATCCCATAATTATAGGATATTTGTATTAGGGCTGAGCCGGATAGCATTTTCTTCGGGTATCGGGTTCGGATAGTTTTCCACGGGTGGCACGGGTACTCGATCGGGTAATGTTTCCATGGTAACACCACGATGCACTCCTTTCCTTACACACTGGGTAGACATGCGGAGTATTTATGAGTTTGTACACGTGCACCGTACTTGATATCATCTGCGACTTCGGGTTTTCGGGTACTATTCTGTACCCGTCTACCCGAGGTCCTCACGGGTACCCGACTACCCGTGCACACCACTAATTTGTATGGTGCATACGAACTACATGTGTAGCAAGAAGGGCCCACGGGTGTGTGTGTGATCCCCGGTAGTCTAGTCGGTAGGGCACTGCCCCGGAAAGACGGGTGCTGGGTTCGAATTCCGCTCGTGGATCCTTCTTTTTGAACACATGTACAAGTGCATTTTGTTGTGCATTCTATCAAAGTGGCTTGGGTACTTCAAGTCTTCAGGTTTTGAACTTACAACTTACATGATTGTACAGTATGCAGTTCCGAAATGTCGGTGCATGCACATACTTTAGTTTAGGACGAACGTCAAGGGACCGATGATATTTTTTCACAATAACGGGAGTTCTTCTTATCCATATGTTTTACCCAGTGAATACACAGGGTTTTATCCAATACAGTTACGAATACTAGTTCTTCTTAGGCAAACATTTGTCTTATCAGTGTTCTTCCTAATGATGTTTCACTGTATACATGAACCTAAACGAATGTCGAATGTTGAGACACAGCTCAGTGAATTCTGCTGACTGCGTGGCGGGTCCTTGTGTGTTGTGTTCCTTACTGTGTTAGGTACTGGGCAGTGGCGGCTCCCATCTACTTTGCGTCCTTGTTCCTCTTTGTCCTGGCATTGTATGTTGGTTACTCACTGGTGCTAACACCACACCTATCCTCCATCAACACTATTCAAGGTCAGTCCGGGCGATACAATCCCCCTAGGTCTTTTGTTGCCACCTGTGCACCAATTCCGTGCTTGTCCAGTGACCCGCTACTTTAGGTATAGGCTTGAGACATGCTCTGGTGTGCACTTCAGCAGCACACTCTACTCGCTGCACTCTGTGTTGGGGACAAAACAAAACTGCCTGTGGTACCGTGAGTGTGCGACTTACGGATACTGTATGCATACAGTATTCGTCTGGATTGCAAAAGTGTGCAGCTTACGGCTAATTTGTGAGATAAACGTGCGTGACGTATTGTACGGGTATGTCCTATCTGTATCGTAATGGTGCTGTGTAGTTAGTTGTTGATGTGCTTCTCTGTCTATGCAGATAAGCACTCCAATCCTCCGCTCGAGTCTCCGTTCGGTGTTCGCCTCCGACGCAGTGACGGCGGTGCAGGACCTGGCGGTGAGGAGGAACCTGCGGCGATTCCTCACATTGGAGACATCCCGGTGCACCACGTCAATACACTCCTGTACAGGGAGAGGCTGTCTGCCAAGAGCTGAGCTATGTATTGTATCCCCTACTCCTCCTGTACAGGGAGAGGCTGTCTGCCAAGAGCTGAGCTATGTACTCTATCCCCTACTCCTCCTGTACAGGGAGAGAGACTGTCAGCTGAGACCTGAGCTGAGCTATGGACTGTATGTACTCCTGCAGGCCATGGCATGAGTGAGAGATATCACCTGGTGGATCATTGCAGGGGCAACAAAGACTTGACGTCCCATGATTTCTGGGCGAAAACGCAACCGACGAGTTCCACGGATCATCAACGTGTGAAACGTGTGTGCACACCACGCGGCGACTGGCAACATTCCTGTTGATCACCACTCGGCCTTGGTTGTGATGCCTTTCTGTATCCCAGTGGACATGCTGTGTGGATCTGGTGTATAGCAGACTGCAATATCCACACTGTCAAAGCAACGCCATCACGGATAAATTCTGGCTCAAGCATAGGGATACTGAAGGCTTCCGGCGATGAGCCAGCACTCCTAGACTATCTGAGCCCAAGACTGGACCCAGCAGTGTGGCTAGTGATTACACACTTGTTGCATCAGTGATCTGAGCCACTGGGATGATGCATCTGAATTTCCCCTGCCAGTGGAGCAGTTACTTCTCCTCGCTATAGCTGGGTGGAGCTGAAGAAGACTATCATAATTATTATTATTGAGAGAGAGAGAGAGAGAGAGAGAGAGAGAGAGAGAGAGAGAGAGAGAGAGAGAGAGAGAGAGAGAGAGAGAGAGAGAGAGAGAGAGAGAGAGAGAGAGAGAGAGAGAGAGAGAGAGAGAGAGAGAGAGAGAGAGAGAGAGAGAGAGAGAGAGAGAGAGAGAGAGAGAGAGAGAGAGCATAATTATGCACTTCCACTTGGTAACCAGAAGACATGGCTTTTGAAAGATATCAATGTAGAAAATGATCACACAATTTTTTAAAGGCAGAATGGAAGATACACAAACCGGTATAATAGCTATCACCCGCTTTGGATGACGAGAACAAAACAGCAATAATGGAAAATGCAAGTATACAAGATTGCAACAATGGTTAGGTATGTAGTGGTGATAGATTTCATGAGTGTTCTAAGTACAAGCTTGAGAGTACTACAGTGTGGTGTACATACACATACACGCCTATACCTACACACACACACACACAGACACACACACACGCACACACACACACACACACACACACACACACACACACACACACACACACACACACACACATACACACACACACACATGTAGTCTGTTTATGTACACTACTCAAGCTTGCACAAGGTAGGAGCTAGTACTAGTAGGTATGGAGAGGTATGTTCAAAAAACGAGAATGCCGGTTGGTATGTACACGGGTGCTTGCTCCAGGCAATGCGCAGCGTCATGCAAGAATATTTACAGGTGCATGTACAGAGTTATTTGGAGGGATCTTGACGGTGGTATGTAGTTGGGCATTTAGAAAATTGGCAGCTGCTTGATGAAGTCGTCCAGCTTGCTGCTGAAGAGCTGGCTTTCAATGGGCTCTTTGGGAAGTACGTTTGGGTTCTTGACGACATACTCCACGTATACCTGGGGTAAAAAACAACAATGCAAGCAATCTTCAGTCATACCGTATACGAGGTATCTGTGTTCAATGACCACCCCTGGTGGTGCATCACAAAACAATCAATGACCACCCCTGGTGCATGACAAAACAAAGTCATAAGAGAAGGGCATCCGCGATTTACAGCACACTCGCAAGAGTAAAGGAAATCCAGCCACGGACACAGCAGGTTTTAGCTCACCTTGGAGTAGAGGCTAAGCATGGTTTCGCGAATATTGCCCACACCCAGATCCGTGTTTAGGACAAACTTAAGTCCGCTCGGTGTTTCGTAAAAGTTGAGCTTGTATTTACTGGTGGAGTAGCTGCAGAACTCATCTTTCCTGCGGGGCGCACACACATGGGAGAGCAAAGACACGGCACGAACGATCATGGCACGGATGGGATGGGCAACACACACGCACAGGAATGCAGGAGGTGCCATTGGTCAACACATTGGCAGCCAGTGGACAATCTGAAATGGTAAGATGAGATTAGGAGATGGGGCTTATAGAGACCAGGATAAAGCCCACTTTCTGTGAGAGTAGTGGATTCTAGGGAGCTCCACACACATACTGGACGCGCTCCACTGCACGTTCTTGACTCGGGTTTGAAATTTGTTGAATGAACGGATTACAACCATGTACACTAGCAACTGGAAGTTGTTGTGAATTCTGTATCGACGATCCACTCGACAAAACCGCGGAAAGAGATCATGTACAAACGATACAACTCTTTGTGCCAAATCAGTAGTATGCATGCAGCAGACGCATGTGGCGTCAAGGAAGCATACACCTAATGCGTAAATTCTGGCGGAAGAATTAGACATTCCGGCTTGACGTCAGTGTGTTCGGAATTGGATTCCGCGGATTCCGACCGTGAAATCTGTGTCACCAAACGGTGTATGCATGGCGGGGAATTCTAGGAATGGTAGGAATCGTGTGTAATCGAACGTGCTCACTAAAACAACTCGATATTCCTCAGACAGTCTGAGTTGCAGCCACTAGTATCCTACAAGTGCTGACGTCCATACTGTTGTATTCTCTCGGCACAATTAAAGCGACGTGGACTCTGGCTAGCGCCAGACGCTACTATAGCAACGTCGTTTGCATAGCTTCGGGAGCAAAGGCTATGCTGTGCTGGTATCCTTTTCAGACCACAACCTATGTACAACTACAGCCCAGAACGTCATGTATACATGTACATTCTAGATGCAATGTGATCAGCACCAGACAAAGCACAGACTACACACCAGAGGCAATATTTTTAATGCAAGTCTCGTGAATCTGGGGGTTTCCTGACAAGCTTTCCACACGTATGTCTAGAGCGATCTTTCAAGTAATTGTGGTGCGTTATACAAAATTGAACTGCTATGAATTGACATTTATCGACAAACAATCAAATACAGCAAACTCACGCATCTCGCGGCGATATTCTGGAAATGAACGACTTCACTGAATATAGCATTCCGTACACTAACTTGTACTCCTGTGGGAAGTAGAATAGTAACCAAACTTACGCTAAATATTTTATTATGCACTGCCAAAAGTCTATTTCATTGTTTGCCTACCTCTTCACGAGACATGTTTGCATTTCTTCTCCTCTTCCATTCCGAATAGTATAAGCATGTGCCATCTCTATCAAAGATATACAGGTTGTATACGGTCATAATGCTGCTATCATCAAACAATATAAAGAAGTCCTCTACGAGTTTCTCAACGACTTGAGACTCAAGTCTTGTTTGCAGTTTGGGTCAGTTTGGATCACAGAAGCGCAAGACGTGTCTTTCACGTTTCAGCTTCAAAAAATTAATGTTGGAAGAGCACCCTCATAGATCATGCCAATCGAACGCTGTGTGCCGGTACTCCATAAACAGAGCAGAGTAACCCCTGGCAGGGAACAGAGCCCGGCCAGCGCCGTACATTTGTCACCAGGGAGTAAAACACCGTTTTTAAAATACTCCCTGCTTGCACGTGACTTCACACCTAGACCAGGAAGATAAAAGAAACAAAGCTTCTTCCCTAAGCTTTACTTCATAGCGACGTTCAGTTTTCAGACGGTTGCTACCTGCATGGGAAGATGAAGCGTCCTTCAACGTTCGTGTTTGTCAGAACCCAGTGAACACGTCTCTGGACTATAGCCTGGGTAAGGTGAAGTAATAACGTCTTTCTTCCTAGACAAATTTCCAATGAAAACTTGACGATAATTCTGTAATTGTTCCGTAATTGTTTCCCCATGCAGTTTGCTGGCCATGGCGTATTTAGCCGTCCTTCGCTCCGACACGGGTGTGCCGTTGTTCAGCCGGACGAAAGGTGAATTATCTCAGGTATGAGAGTATGAGTCCGTGTGCTTGTGAGCGTAGCCATGCGTTTCGCGTGAGTCGAGCAACCGTGACAGCATGATTATAGTTACTAATATTCTTGGGCGTTGACCGTGTTTTAGCGGGCACTGTTCAAAAGGGAATTATATTTTGTATGCTTCACAACCAGTAACACTATACCTGTGCGCATACCGGTATGTAGTCGAGGTAAAATGCAATGCAATGAATGCTTAAAGACTTTGTTATCATGTAAACGCTGCCACCAAGTGTAAGAAGCGAGCTACATTGGAAGTCTCTTTCGAACAGGGACTCGCCTGTTCGTGTTAGCACAGTGCTGCCTCTATGTTAGGCAAAGCAGCCACAGAAGAGATGTTTTACTCTACTAACTTAGTATGTTCCAGGGACGCAGCGTGAAGAATCCTTTGGTCACTCTTCAAGTTCCCGTAACGTAGAAGACGCCTGTTCTGCTCTAGATTCACGCAAAGAAATCACGGGGATGTGTACTGGGGATTTCCCTTTCCAAATTTGGCAGCTTTCTCGTTAATTTTTTTGATACGCGGCACATCTTTTTTTTTTTTTCCGTGTGCCGCCACGTAGAGAACCTCCTCCTCTGTATAGACCTTCCTCCTCCTTCCTATACCTCCGTTTTACTTTTAACTCCATTCTAAGATTCGCTTCCATGTATTTGGGCTTGGAGCCCATGTGTACTTGCGAATTCTAAGGGCATGTTCGATTGGTTAGGATCGGGATCGGGATCCAGATCTCAGATCCGTCGGATCCTTCAGAGTCAACTGGACACTTTTTTGAGCCTTGACTGTTGCCATGTGGACGAAGTAATAAAAAGTCGTACTCACAGCGCCAGTTGTACAAAAAGTCAGCAAGCTCTATCTCGATCCACGTGTGCGTACCACAATGTGTACAAAAACGAGTTTTACCCGCCATATACGCACAAAGGTCACATTTGGATCCGTTGGATCCGGTCAACCCTGCTCCCCGAGGTGGGTTGACCGGATCCAAATCCGAAGGATCCGGATCCGGATTCGACCAATCGAAAGGGTGCGAATCCAGTGGATCCGGTGGATCGGGATCCCGATCCTACCAAACGAACATGCCCAAATACTGTGTAGCAGGAAATTTTCGGACGGAATTTATTTTCGGACAATTTCGTACACGGCCTCTTTTATACTAAATTAAATCTGTACTAGAAATGTGTTCATGTCAAATTATGTACAGTCAACTTTGCGTATCTCTTAGCCTGTCACCAGGAAACCCTATATATAGGGTTTGACATAACGCTACACATAAAGACCCTATATATAGGGTTAGGACCCCTAAAGAAAGGGTTTGATCAGTCCTCACAACTGGGCACACAATACACACAGTTTCACTTGTTTTTTTTTGATATTTTCACTGCATTGCCATTGATGTTAGCAGGAGCGCTCCTACGACGTGCGCGAGTGTCGCCGCATTTGCTGCTTCCGACCCACGTGTGGATCAGCTGATGCAGAAACGGCAATGGCGGGAGCGGCAGCTGCGACAGCCGCTGTTGATGCTTCGCCTTCTTCTTCAGGAGCATCCGACGCTGCTGGAACATCGACATCATCATCCTGAGTCGACACCAGGTCGCCAGGAACATTCTCATCGCCCGAGTTCGTCTCCACTAACTCAAGTTGCTCTTCCTCCATCGTGAAAAATCAAACCCTAGATATAGGGTCTAGAAAATGTTACGACAGCGCTGCACTAAAACTAACCGTACTCGAAGAAAACAGCAACAAAATGATCACGGTCTTCAGCAAGAGAACCGTACGTACATTCTACGTATGTAGGCCCAGGCGTCTAGTTGCCATAGCAGCCAAGTAGGCTCTCAAGAGAGCTCAAGATAGAACGCGCGGCTGAAAACCCTATATATAGGGTTTGACAGGCTAAGAGATAACGACACTCAGCGGGGCATCAGAAAAGTGTCCTTATTCGCGAAGTGTCCTTACACCCGAAGTCTCATTATATGTATTACAGTTAGATGGGACTTTACTCTGGGCGTGCAAATCCTGTCGTTATTCACGAATTGTCGTTATATCCGCAGTCGTTATTAGCGAAGTTGACTGTATACTATACATGCGTACTGCATGCGAGCACGTGCATTTAGCATGCAGCACTGTACGAAAATATAATCCATACGAAAGGTCGAAATTCGGCTTTGTCCGAAAATATTCCCGTCCGAAAATTTCTGCTATACTGTACAGAAAAGATAATGTCATACATCTCCGCATAGAAATCTGGACCCAAAACTTGCAAAGCCGCAGACTCTAAGTGAAAAAAGACGCCTATTCTCTACGTGATTTCTCTATGTTTCATGTAGACCAGAACCTCTCAAGAATCGGGAATACTCGGGTGGGGTTGTTAATGATCGACGGGCTCCGGTAGAAACTACATGTACTTCTTTCGGTAGATGTACAAATAATCTACGCGACGCGAAGACAAACGTTTAATTAAAGCTATTGGCATTCAGACGAGGTAAGCAACAGCTCTCGGCCCTGTCAATAACGCAATTCCACCTCCACCACCACATGCGCTCTCTTTTTCTTTTTTCTTTTTTTTTTAGTGTTTATTTGAATTCGGATAGCTCAACAGTACAGAAGTACAACTACAAAGAGTACCGAATAGAAGGCCCCGAGAACGGGAAAACCAAAAAATAAAATAATAATACAGTCAAACCTCTTTAGGACGAACACCAAGATAACGGGAGTTCTTCTTATCCGTATGTTTACCCAGTGAATACACAGTGGTTTATCCAATGGAGTTACGAATTCTAGTTCTTCTTAAGCAAACATTGGTCTTATCAGTGTTCTTCCTAACGAGGTTTCACTGTAATTCCAAACAAGAGCCGATTTACTTGAAAAGGGCAGAAAGCCAGACATAGATCTATAGCGATTGATACTCATGTTATGAGTTGTTGAGCCGCGAGTAGCTCGGGTAGACGTACAGATGGGAAAGAGGGACTGCAAGCGAAACAGCCGGCTTAATCCAGTAACAGTGGAAAATGAATACACGGAACAAAAATACTGATCGATATTGGAAAGAGGAAACATTGAGGTGTTTCTGATACTGCAAAATGTCTAAGTTGTGGACCCGGACAAGCTTGGACAACACGAAAAGCTTATTTCACAAACTACAGATATTAATATGACCAATAGATAGAGAAGAATATGTAATGCAATGAGGGGAAGGTGTGAACTTGCTTGACGCACAAAGGGTTGGGCAAGAGGATTTAGATTTGATCTGACTTCACTCATTCCGCTGCTGCTGAGTTTGCAATGCTGTCTGACTTGAAACGCCACTCTCTTGCACGGACAGTGTCAGGCCAGAAGTCCTCTTGGAGAACAGCATCCTTATGCTGAATGGGTACCACCACATGTGCGAATGAAAGGCCAAAATACCTGCTTTCGGAAACGGAGCATTTTGATGACCCGTATTTCTTTGTTTCTGCACCACCGCGCGATGGATTGGGAGGAGCAATCGCTTTGGACATTTCCAAGGTATAATGCAAAACCTCGGACTCTTTGAGCTCCGGCTAGCCTGTCTGTTGGCTTGGGTTTGTCTTCGTAATAGGATGTGAGGGTGGTGGTGATTGGACCATAACCGTTGCACGCGGTGTTTGAACTTGAACTTTTGCGAGCATGCCGAGGTCCTGGCATGCTGGCTGCGGTACTGTACTACATGGTTGTTGGTGTATTAGATACGGTGGGCGTACTCGTAGGGTCCTCTCTAGAGACGTGTGTGTCATGTGTACGCATGCTTACCGCTGTAGAGGCAGGGCTAGGGACCATGTGGGATTTGTCAAGATTGCTCTCTTCCTGATACACACTTTGCGTACAACGATTGTTGCAGTCCTTCAACCGTACAACTTCTGCCTGAAGGGTCTTCACTTGAATCTCTAGATCAGAAATGGCTGACAATTTCTTCGACAAACATTGTATCTCGAACATAATTTTACCTAACTCCGAGCTTGCCGGAGATGAACTGGTGGACTGACCTGATAGATATGCATCACCGACACCATTTCTTCTCAGCAATGCCACCAGCTGGGGGCGTTTCAACCCGCTGTACCCTGATATGCCGTTCGTTTTCGCCAGTTCCTTCAGCTCTTCCACGGAAAGCACAGCCAAGTCAACCGTTGCTGCGGAAGACCGGTCCACGTGATCGGACTCCATGGTAGCCCTGTCACAACGAGTACTATAGCTGCCGACTTCGTCCCGGTTACCTACACAATTCCTGACGGGTTCGGGCGGAGCACTAACATTTGCCTTCAGTCTTCACCTCTGGCCGACCATCAAACAAGCAACACGACTCCAAGTTGTAGACAGTGACAAATCGTGTTCCTCCATACAGCGCTTTTTCGCCCTCGTCACTCATCAGTGAAGGTTTAGAACAACGAGTGGCTAGAACCAATTTGAAAGCACAGTTTTAAACACAGAATGAAATGAAGAAGCGCGATCCCGCACTTAAGAGGTAATAGACGCGCCAAGTGCTAACACACGGAGAAAAGGTGCAAAATTAACACTGCTACGTGCCATAAGAGTACTGCGGACATTATTGATTCTTGTGCAACACTTTCTAGCACTCCAGTACATACATGTGCATACAATCCTGTAGCATACTGAAAATAAGGGTGACAGTTCAAACTTAGCGCTCCAACACAGCACTGCGAGTAGTTCTGCGAGAGGCCCTGGGGCATTCACTCCGTACTGGGCTGTCGTCGCACAGCCGGGCGTCACACTGCTGCTGTGTCCATTGTACATGCACATGTACATGGTGTTGAAAACACACACATTAGTCATTACGTTACAGCCACGCTTGCGGACACTTGAGAGGCCCGAGGGGATTCACTCTGTCTGCTGCTTGGTCGTTGGTTCTAGTCATTGCTCATCGTTCTCTCTCCTCTCTTCCTCCAACTCTTTCGGCTGCTGCTTGGGCGGCGCAACATCCACTGTAGAGAAATAGGTAAGCAGCAGCTTTCGGCCGAAAGGCCGACGGCACTGGCGGAGGTTCTGGTGGTGGCAAGGGCATGGGTGATACTGATTCAGAAGCTCGTGTGACCTTCCTTTCTTCGTCATGTGACCTTCTTTTCTTTGTCATGTGACCTTCTTTTCTTTGTCATGTGACCGTCCTTTCTGTCATGTGACCTTCATGCCTGTGATGTGACCTTCATGCGTGTCGTGTGACCTTCCTTTCTTTGTCATGTGACCTTCTTGTTGGTTGTTTCCGGCTGTGTTGGTGGACGAGGGAATAGGTTTTTCGTGGTCGACCCCGCTTTGGCCGTTCGTCTTTGGCAATATCTAGTAGTATGTGAAGCGACACATGCTGTTTGATATGTGTGTTCAGATGTTGAAGCGTCCTACCAACGACTGTTACGTACTGGCTACCACAATTCCGGCACTCAAATTGCTACAGTCCATTCAGAAAAAGATGGACTTCTAGCTTTTGGCCATAAATGGGTCAAACTTTGAGTTTTTTTAGAATTTTTTTCTGCAATCCCCTATGGAATCCTCTTCCAATTATGTTTTTGAAGTTTTTTCGTCCAAAAAGCAAGCCATAACAAGAATAGAATTTCGGCCAGGTTTTGCCCCAACAGCACTGAATTGGGAAAAACCATAAAAATCCAGGCCGTTTGACCCCGCCTGCAAACGTGCACTGTGCGGTTCGAACCCCAGTTCAGGTACCCTTTTTGGACCCTTTTTCAAATTTCAAATTTCGCAGCACTGCACTGTGTACGATGAAATCACGAAAAATCGCCAAATACGGGAGCTCGCCAGAGCCAGAGCCCATCTTTTTATGAATGGACTGTAGACCAAATGACTTCTGAGATGGGATGGTAGGACATCCTACCTCAACACGATCGCATGCATGGTTGTAAACACGGGAATTGTTATAATGTTATAATTATAAAATGTGCCGCGAAGTAAGTTTTCATGAGTCTTGATAGCGCGACACATGTTCAGCTATCTGTTTCCTTTCCAGGGGAACTACGATGAACAGGGTAGGGGCATGCTAGCGAGTAGACTTAAATACTTATAGTAATACTTGCGCAGCTCTTTCTTGAATACATGGACAGAAGATTTCGAAGTCAATGTGGGTGGGAGACAATTCCATAAAAGGGAGGTTTTAATAAGAAAAGCAATTTGGATGTTGTCTGGGCTTTGGGGAGGATAATTTTATTGGGGCGTCTCTCATTATGGGAAATCATGAGACTTCTCAACAAGCATATCTGAGAAACGAAACAGTGTTGGTTTGCTGATGCTCGCAGGCGAACTTGAGGGAAGGATAGCTATTCCAGTGCTCTTGGAAGGTCTCGGTCTGTTCCACGGAAAAGTACGTAAACGAATCGTCGACGAAACGGACGTACAGCTGAAGCCACAGTGACTCGTCAATCAAGGACTCACAATATCCAACAAAGATATTGGCCAATACCGGACCAAGAGGAGAACCCATGGTCACACCGTCCACCTGTTGGTACATAACGTTATTGAATGAAAATTCCTCGGCCAATTTTGACAACCATGGTGATGTGGACGTAGATGTGTTTCTTTTCTTTCTACCACAAATGGTAGATTCTACCCGTTATTCGCAAGCCTCTTTGGATTAGCCAGCGCGCCATTGACTGCAGTGGGGCTCGTGTACTTTCGGCGGTTAGAGATGATTTCTTAATGTGCGCAAGCTCTACTACAGCCACTTCATTACATGAAAAACCTTACACATTCCATCTTCAAATCAAGTGGTCTCTTCGCTGCAAA